GCGTGACTCAGAGCAGCCAAGGCTGACACAAAAGGTTCTGGCAGCTAAATAGGACCTAAACCACTCAAGAGCGCTACCGCCAATGCCCACCAAGTGCTGCAAACGAGTCAGCAGAATACTGTGATCCACTGTATCAAATGCTGCAGTTAAATCCAATAAAACTAGACACACATAGTCTCCATTGTCATTTGCCAGCAGGATGTCATGAGAAACGCGTAACAGGGCTGACTCCGTGCTATGCATCGTCTTGAAACCTGACTGGAAGACCTCCAAGATGTTATGTTCATCCAAGAAAAGTTTCAACTGCATGTGCACCACTTTTTCCAGAATTTTTGAAATGAAAGGCAGTTTGGAGATGGGCCTGAAATTTGACAGCACGTCTGGATCAAGACCAGGTTTCTTGATCAAGGGTTGGACCACAGCATGTTTAAACTGTTGGGGAACTATACCAGAAGAGAGGCTGCTGTTGATGATGTCCAAGACCGATGCACCAACACTCGGTAGAACCTCCTAAAAGAAATGCGGGGGAAGAGAGTCACAGGGGGAGCCAGATGGCTTCGTCTGGCGAACTACATCCTCCAAAAGCTTCAAGGACACAGTTTCAAAAGAATTTAGCACCGCTGCACACGGAATATGGACAGAGGAGTCAGATGCAGTATTTGAGACCGAAATCCTAGCTTTCATATGTTGTCATTGTCTTCGGACACAGGTGTCAAACTCGGGTCCTCCAGAGCCACTATCCTGCATGTTACATATGTTTTCCTCCTTCAATACACCTGATTCAAATGATGAGGATCATTGTCAGGCTCACAATGGCCCACGAGGACTGGAATTTGACATCTGTGTTTTAGGGGGTTCTGAGCTGTACTTTGCCTGATCTCTCACCGAGGAGATGTTTGTTTATTGATTTAAGGTGGCCATTAGGCCCCAGACAACTTATCTCCGAGCTCATAACTCCCACCATTTGATCCTCTCCTCTTTTATCTATAACTGCTTCAAACAACAAAGAGGATGCAGAAAAGTGGTTAAGATTGTATGACTGTCTGTGTCTTATGTGTTTGTTGTATTATTTTGTTATATGTTATTATGACTTCAAGATGGCGCCACGAGAGTGGCTGCCTTTACAGCACCTCCTATAGTTTGTTCTTCTACTTTCTTCCTTTCATAACTTTGCTGCTGTAAATTAGGAATTTCTCCATTGTGAGACGATTAAAGGTTTTCTGATTCTGATAATAGTTACAGGCAGAACCAGGCAGTCGATGGAAACAGACAAAATGACTCCTGTCCATTTGATGGTGAGTCAGACCATCTATCCTGAAACTGTTGAGCAAATACATTTTGAATCAGAATAGTCACACAGTCATATGCCCTCCAGGGGACGTGTAGCCATTGGAATTTTGGGAAAATATGGTAATTTTTCCGATGGGCTTGTGTATTTTCGGGCATGTCCTGGGGATCAGAGTGTATGAAACAGGCGAGAAACTCCACGCCATTTTGATTTTGTGGAAATGGGAGCAAGTCAAAAAAAGTGTTTTTGTTTACGTATTTGTTAGTGTCCTTGGGTGTCTTGAAAGGCGCTTATAAATAAAATGTATTATTATTATTATGATTATTATTATTATTATTAACCAGGCAAGAGAGGAAACCAACAGTTCTCCCAGTGCAAAAGTGTGAAAAACATTGCCATCTACAGGCAAAAATGCGCTTTTGCGGGCCTGGCTACTTTAATCACGTGATCGATCAGGCGTAGTTGGGGGCGTTGGCTGTTTAAGTGACGTCACTGCCCTAGTACAACCGGCCAGTGGGTGTCCTGTATTTGGCATAATCTCCGTGAAAACAAATTCACTCGTGAGTGACCGGATTAGCTATTCTTAGTTTGTACTACAGTCGGGCGGTGTGTGGTAAAAATCCGTCAAAATGATTAAAAACGGCCATCACGACACGGAGGAACAATTTGGGGACGGCGGCCGTGGTACTCAGCCGGCAGGGTCAATGTGCAGCCCGGAGAAAAGGAAGCGCGTTGTCCGGCTTTGGTGTGACGGCTGGTAAGATTAGATTTAACCTCACTGCTGTGTTTAACTCCGAGCAATTCATTGAATGCGGATTGTGGGTTTGTCACGTCACAGATGACTAGTCACTACTGTATGCAGATCGTACTCCAGCTATTCAGCATGCTAATGCTAGCCGCTTGGCAATGTCAGCAATTGAAAGAATTCTGTTTTACTGCACAACCGCAAATAACGTAATCTTGACGACTGCATTTGTTCAACTGAGGTCTTAAAAAACGTACCATTTATGTTTTTCCCGATCGCATTAGATAAGTGTCATGTTATGTAACGTCAGTTCTACGAGTCGAGACAAGAACAGTTTTGTCCGCAGAAACACACTTTATACTTGAACAACACCGAAAGACAACCACAATAAATGGGGCATTCCGTGTCATTTCATCCAAAGCCCACCACCTGACCGTCTCGGAATGTCCTGTAAACATTCTAGTAAAAAGACACACTTGTTAATGGGAAAAAAATCCCAAATATTAGGTCGCCGTTGTCAATATTTTCTCATGAAAAGTCATTGAATGTAGGGTATTTTAGGCGGTTTTTGTAGTCATACTCTAAAAAGCCATTTTAATCAGCAATATCTGGAAAACTATCACGGTAACCTTCAAAGTTTTTCCAGTCAATATCCGTTATTAATAGCCTCCAAATTTGGAATGTCAGACGTGGAACTCAATTATCATCAAATATGGTACTTAAACTTTTATCAAAATGTGACATGTCAAAATGAACTAGCAAATTTGAAGAGTTGTATATATATAACTCCGTGGAATTCATTGAACGTGGGTTTATATATATATATATATCAACTTGTATTTAATTGAATACACTTCAAAAGTGTAGCAAATAATCATGAACTTTTATAGCTGGAGCACTCCTCTTTTTGCTTTCAAGCTTAGCTTGTAGCAGACGTGTGCACATTGCAGCATGACGTCTTTGATCCACTGGTGGAAAGGACACTTTGATTCACTCCTCTTTCATCTATAACTGCTTCAGACAACAAAGTGTATGCAGGAAAGTGGTTAAGAGTGCACGATTGTCTGTGTCTCATGTGTTGTTTTGTATTATTTTGTCATTTTTTTGTTAACTTTTCTTTTGATAGCGGCGCGGACACCCGCAGCGGCTCCTCTTGTTTTATGTTGAGAGGGAATAAATTTCATCTGTGCTGTATGTTACACATACAGTACATTTGACAATAAAGCTTATCCAATCCAATCCAATCCAAAATGCTGGGATAGGTGGCAAAAAAAGGAAGTTGAGGAATGCTCATCATTGTATTGGGAACAGGTGGCTGCCACAATTGAATATAAAAGGAGCTTCCATGATTTGCTCAGTCATTCACAAGCAAAAATGGGGCAAGGTTCATCTCTTTGTGAACAACTGTGTGAGAAATGTACAACCCACGATCCATAATATATCGGAAGCTTCAGAGAATCTGGAGAAATCGCTGCATAAAAAGAAAAAGTGATGTAATATAGTAGTAAACATGACACTGTCCCAGCTTTTTCGGAAAGTGCTGTAGCCATAAAGATCTAAGTTAATGATTAATTGCTTCAAAAAAAGTTTATCAATTTGACCATTAAATATATTGTCTTTGTTGAGTAGCCATCTAAATATTTTTTAAGCATGATTTTCAAATCATTGTATTCTGATTTTATTGATGTTTAACACAACGTCCCGACTTCATTGGAATTGGATTTCTATTCATACGTTGGATCTCATATGATTGTGAAGGTCTACCTAATGAATTGGCTGGTGAAGGGTTTCATGAATAGTGAAACTTGCTCGTTTTATCGATCAGTTGAGTGAAAAAAATAAAGCGCCAGGTTAGAGAGCGAATATAAACATGTCATGTCTCTAGTCATAACCTTTCTCCCAGTAACCTTTGTCATTCACGTGTACGACAAGTTATGGAGTTTATGTAATAATTTTGTCAAGCAAAACTATTCTGGCTCGTTCGGTAATGTTAAAGTAAAATAAAGTACAAAACGAAAGAGCTGAGCACTGAACACAAGCAATATGGAAAATCTCAAATGTCCTGGATGCTGTTACTCCTCTTAAAAAAAAAAAAAACAACAAAAAAACGAACACCATTTCATGTCAACCTAAAACATCTTGGAGGTGCACTACGAACGTTGAGAGTCATGTAGTGGTAATCATCAATCAATTCCCAACAATCATTAGGATTTTTAATCAGTGAATTGATCAGTGATCAATGATTCTGTCTCCTCCTTGCGATTAAATTCCCAATTTATAAAAAGGCAGCAAGCAGGTATTTTCTGACTGCGTTGACAATTTTTCCACGCCATTGTGTTTCTGTGCTTTCTTTGTAGTTATGACATGGTCCACTACGGTCACTCAAATCAACTGCGGCAAGCTAAAGGCATGGGAGATCACCTCATCGTCGGAGTGCATACGGATGGTAAGGACCCAGCTGACACATTGTTTGTGCACTGCTGTTTAAGTAGTTACGCCTCACATTTGTGAAAACACTCACAAAGTGCCGCCTTTACTTTTCAGCTACTTTTTGGTGAGCAGCTTTATGATTTGAAGGTCAGCGTAATATTAAAAGCAGCTCCCAGTAAAATAGTGAGTGTCTCTACACCACTGCAAACACAGAAATAAACTGAAATGAAACTTCTGGACTGAATTAGACTGTGCAAATGAACCTCATGTTGGGTGATCTTCATTTCTGTAATCTGTTAAGCTTTCCCGGCAATGTTTTAAAAGATGGAAATAAAATTTGTGTCTTGCTTCACTCTTTGGCACGGCCTTAATGATCCAATTGCAGTGGTGTGCATTAGTTTCTTGTTTTCTGGCAGTGATAATCTATAGCCGGTATTTTTTGTCTCATGCCGTCAAAAGCGGAAATCTCCAAGCACAAAGGCCCGCCAGTCTTCACTCAGGAAGAGCGCTATAAGATGGTGCGGGCCATCAAGTGGGTGGACGAGATTGTGGAAGGGGCTCCCTACGTCACCACCTTGGAGACTCTGGACAAGTTCAACTGTGACTTCTGTGTGCACGGAGGTAGGAACCTGTTGTCAAAAATGCTCCGCGTGTTACCAGCTATGAGTTTTGCCTGTTTTTTATTATTTTTTTTTTTAACAGATGACATCACACTGACTGTGGATGGAAAGGACACATATGACGAGGTGAAAAGAGCAGGACGTTATCGGGAATGTAAACGCACTCAGGGAGTCTCCACCACAGACCTTGTGGGACGCATGCTTCTCATGACCAAATCACATCATAGCAACATGGTGAGTTGACGCTTCCACGACCTTACGTTGTATGTTCTGTTCCGTTGTATTACATTGACATCACATGTGAACTAGTAAGAAGGCTTGGGGCAAATCACTTCATAAGCACCGATATGTGCAGCCATTGTCCAATGTTTACAAGAATATGTATGCGAGGGCTGGACGATTAACTCAATTCAACTGTATTTATTGACCCGTTTCAGCTATGTCACGTGAGTGCACAATGACTCCGGCAAAAGTTAATGACTGCCGAGTTGAAGTGGATGGAAAACGGACAACTCTTTCCATTTTTCGATTTCCAATCGAAAGTGAAAAGAGAAAATAATAAGTAGCTGGATATATCGTATGTTTGCATTCTAATCATTTAGTTCAGGAGATCATACTTCCTTCTAATCATTTTCTACAGGATAATCCTGATTATCAGCAGCATACAGACAATTTTGGGAAGGTACGTAAGTCTTGGTTATTTTTTTTCTTCCCTCTTAAGTGTGAGTTGTTTAAAAAACAAAAGATAATGAGGCTGTCATAATGACAAATTGTGGTCTTGTGTTTAAGGGTCCTAAAGGCCACAGTCCATGGACTGGAGTGTCACAGTTCTTACAGACGTCCCAGAAGATCATCCAGTTTGCCTCGGGGAAGGAGCCTCAACCCGGAGACACCATCATATATGTCGCCGGGGCATTTGACCTCTTCCGTATCCTTACATTGACAAACCAAGCTCAACATTTCTACTCTGGCCGTGTGTTGTTTACAAACTTTTCAAATGTGTCTCACAGTAGATGCTTTTGATCTCACATTCAAGTCATGAATGGCGGAACACGCATACCTCGATAACGCTTTTCTGGTGAAATGATATCTACAGAAAGTAGCCTGGACCCATTGGTAGGCCGCTTTGTTACAGTTGCAGCAGTTGTGAAACACCGTACAAATAAAGGGGTACTGGATTGTATTATATTTTACTTGCATAACTCAAATTCTCAACTCAAAGATAGGCCAAGTACTCCATTAGAAATGTTCTTTTGAATAAGAAGGTGGCGGGGGTGCAATTGACTGTGGTATGGACACATTTTTATCTCTTGAGCTCTTTGTAAATGGGGATCATTTTCACAAGGCTGTCTGTACTTCACAAATCCATCCATCCATCCATCCATCCATCCATTTTCCGATCCGCTTTATCCTCACAAGGGTCACGGGGGTGCTGGAGCCTACCCCAGCCGTCTTTGGGCAGTAGGTGGGGGGTGACACCCTGAACCGGTGGCCAGCCAATCGCAGGGCACACACAGACGAACAACCATCCACGCTCACACTCACACCTTGGGACAATTGGAGTGTTCAATCAGCCTGCCATGCACGTTTTTGGAATGTGGGAGGAAACCGCAGTACCCGCAAAAAACCCACACACGCACAGGGAGAACATGCAAACTCAGACACAGGGAGGCTGGAGCTGGAATTGAACCCGGTACCTCTGCACTGTGAGGTAGACATTCAATCAGCCTGCCATACATGTTTTTGGAATGTGGGAGGAAACCGGAGGACCCACAGAAAAACCCACCCAAGCATGGGGAGAACATGCAAACCCAACACAGGAAGCCTGGAGCCGGGATCGAACCAACGGCTGTGAGGTCGACCCGCTAACCACTGGACCACCGGGCCGCCCTTCACAAATATAAAGAAACAAAAAAAAACAGCAATTTTATCTCTTGCCCTTTGCTTGATCTTTAGTGTAACTGCTCAACTTCCCGGTCATAAAATACAATCCATCTTTATTTATATAGCGCTTTGACAACAGCTGCAGCTGTAACAAAGCACTTTACAGAGCATTTAACATAAAATGCAAAATGTTTTTTTTTCTATTAGTTGTTGCCTTTACTTGTGACTCCTGGCAGACATCGGCCATGTCGACTTCTTAGCAAAAGTCTACAAGCTGGCAGAGAGACCCTATGTCATTGTAGGTCTGCATTTTGATCAGGTATGTCACATGAGGCACATCTCACACATAACAGTGAAAAACATTCTGGGTTTTTGTTTGGGATAGCACCTTTATGTCGTTCATCGAGCTCTTTATTCTACTCAGGAAGTGAATCGGTACAAGGGAAAGAACTACCCCATCATGAACGTCCACGAGAGGACTCTGAGCGTCCTGGCCTGTCGGGTAATAGCACGGCTACACTCATCAAAGTGTTACTTGGCTAGTGGTCTTCAGTACTCGAGTCACACCAGCTTTGCATGAGCACAACTCATAACATCTCCTACTTTATGTATTCATTCATTCCCTTTAAAAGCATTAAGCTCATGTGCGCTACCAAGAGTGTTTGATGACGAGACTTAGAGGTAATATCGGGCCAAAAAATCCAGCCCGACCCGGCCCGAGCCCGACCAATTAACTTGATTTGCAGGCCCGAGCCCAAATCAAACCCGAAATTTCATATTTTATTTGTGAGGACTCAGGAGTAGGAGGGGTGATTTATGATCACAAATTAAAGCCTGTCTTTTGTAACGAAATCGAAGTTAAACAAGACTGTACTGGATAAACATTTACATCATCTGTTTCTGCAGAGGGTACATTAACCGACAATTTTCAATCATTGACGGATTTTTTTAAGAGTTGACGGGAAAAATTTAAGGCCGCCCGTCAATGTGACGGGTTGAAATTTGGGCCATATACCACAGCAACAGTACGTCCTTAAGAATCTAGCGCGGCACTTTAAGAGAGAGAAGCAGACAGACAAAGAACAATGACGGGTAGATAATAGACAGAGAGATGAAGGAGTTCTTTGAATTGTCATTGCACGAGTTTAGTATAGTACGTGTTGTGATGAGGCGACTTCTGTTTTTTTTTTTGCGAACCACGGTCTGTCGTGGCCAAAACTATTCATGGCCTCGAAACACCTCAGCGCACTGTGACGTTTGGGTAGTAACATCACAGTGCGTTGTTATATATTTATTAAAAAAAAAAAGTGAGCGAGAGAGAAGCCCGACCCGACCCAAAGCAATGATTGACATTTTAGGCTCGGGCTTCAGATCTTACCTCTAATGAGACTCCAGGTGTGTGACCGTTGTCTTTCCATGTGCGCAGTATGTTTCCGAAGTGGTGATCGGTGCGCCCTATGCGGTGACGAGAGACCTGCTGGATCATTTCAAGGTAGGTGGCGTGTTTTTACAGTTTTCAAATGTTGATCATCGAAATTGACCCATTGTTAAGCTTCATGTGATCATGTGACAACTAAGCCATCTATGTATGTGAGTGTAGACAGTCTTGAAAAGAAAATCTTTTTTTGTTTTTTTTTCTTTGGGATGTTGGAGGCACTCATTTCAAATAATTTAATCTGAATTATTTGCAGGTGGACCTGGTTTGTCACGGCATGACAAAAGTATTTCAAGACAAGGATGGGTCGGACCCCTATGCAGTGAGTACAGATTCATATGGAGATTTTGCTATTTGTTATCATTAAAAGGAAATGTGGTTGTATTTGATGGAGTAGATCAATGAGTGACATCCGTCTGTGAACTGAGACAAGGCCTTATTCATTCAAATCGACCCACGTATGTTAAAATTCTTAACGCATGAATGCAGAAGTTCAAATTACTGATTCAAGCGGAACGAATCAGAAATGAAACTCGTGCAAAGAAAAAAACGCACTTTTCTGGACTCGTCAAATACTCCTTTTTTTGGGGTGAGCTTTTTACAACAGAAAAATGTATTCACCATTGTGACACTGTTTTTTTTTTTCTGAACTGTCATTCTACACGTAAATATCAAAAATCTTTGCTGTATTTGCTACGCGTAAATATCAAAAATCTTTGTTGTATTTGCTGTTTTTGAATCTAATTCTGATCCGTCAGTCCAAATGGCATGGCTCGGTTCAAGACTGTAGGTCCTTCACGGTGGTAGACTACTGTAACATTGTGTCTTTTCGCCCCAGGAGCCCAAGAGGAGAGGGATGTTTCGGACCATTGATAGTGCAAACAGTCTCACCACCGATGATATCGTACAGAGGATCATTGAAAACAGGTCATGCCCCTAAATCGCTTGCTTCTCTTGGTCTTTTCCGTCTGCGTGTATTTGGCTCCGGTGCCGAGGTCCTCTTATCCTTAACGGTCACCGTCCTCCCGGGCAGGCTGCAGTTTGAAGCCAGGAACCAGAAGAAGGAGGCCAAGGAAATGGCGGTGATCGAGGCCTTGAAGAAGAAAGAGGAGCAGAGTGAAATGGCGCACTAGAGAACTGGGACGCCGATTGCTCCGATGTACGATGTACTGGCTCTGCTACGTGAGTGAGCTTGAACCAGGGTGGAAGATCCACGCTCTCTCTCAACAATCCGCCGCTGCAATTGAATGCAGCTGGTTACAGACACTTGTTTGGGTGCGAAATCCTGGTTTGTGTCTCTTTGCTTCTAGGTAGGCTTCTTTCTGTGCTCTGCTCCAGACTTGGTTTGGCCCGTTTTTAAGCGCAATATCTTAAACCTCAATCGTGTGTTCATTCGTTCCTGTAATTGCACAGCACATTCCACAGGATGGGTATACAAGTAGTATGTTAAAGCTCTTAATTACTGGAAAAAATATGACTTATCATTTCTATTGGAATTTTAAATGGGTTTTTACAAATCTTTTCAACTTGTTGTTTTTCAGGTTTGTTTTTAACATAAGAATAATAAGGGATTTAACATTTTAAATAGTCTTATGAACTGGATCTTCAACTACTACTCGGTTACCTGAAGAGATGTGTTATGTGTGCGGTCTAAATGCAGAATTAAAGGAATATTGTTTGGCTTTTTAGACAATTGGCGCTTCATTCTTAAAGCTATAGCAAATATCGGGGTAGTATGTTAAACTAATTCTAATGTTGGCTCCATGTCTTCCCAATTTTTCTCAATGCCCTGAGAAATGTGCTTTAGAAAATGTCTTATTTCATTTTTGGAGACTGAGAACTAAAATATTTTTCATGTAGTTTGCAACTTCAAGGTTTTGCATGTTCCACTGACAGAACAATGCAAATTCTTTGTCAGACAATATATTTCTGAAGTGCGCCTGTGGGATGGAGATAAATATGTAATGGGATTATTCAAATCTTTTCAATCATTATTATATGATGTAATAAACCCGCTATATAGCAAAGAGTCTTCTTATAAGTTACCTTGAGTGAAATAAATTCCAGTGTGCTGCCTGATGACCAGGGGTGCTGCCAGGGATTTAAAAAAAAAAAACAATTTTCTCGGGCTCCTGTCAGTCATGGGCCCTTTGAGTCGCCATCAATTTCCGTTCCCTTACAGCAGCCCCGCTGATGACAGAGCTCTTTGTGCATCGGCGTGCATCACGGCCAACTGAGTCCGTGAAATGAGGTCACGGCTGCTCCAAACTTGCCAAATGTGATGGGTGCGGTCCAGCACCGGCTGCTGCAGAAAAGTGCAAACCGTCAGCCTCATTATGAGAACAAAGAGCCGTGGAAAAGCTTATGTCACAAGAATGGGACGACCCGGCTGAGGGATACCAGAAGCCTGACGTTGTAAAGCCCTTCTGTTTGTAGGTTAACACCGCACCGCACTCAAGCCGTAAGTACGGTACTCCTTGATGCCAAAAACAGCTGAAGCTTTGGTCACCAATATGTTGAATTCAGTGAGGAAATTGTAAAAAAAACTAAAATAAAATTGATATTTCTGTAGTGTGCGTTGAAACATAGATTCATAAATTCTTGTTTTGTCTCATAAATTTTTTTTCTCACGTCTGTGACTGAGCAGAGATGACTGACTTGATTGATGTCTATCTCACCAAGCTGTTGAAAGCTTCAAATGTTGGCACTTTCCTGAAGAACTGAGCGGTGGGGATGTACCGAAGGGTGCCAAAAGGCAGAGAACAGTTATGAAGATTCTAAGGGCCTGTGAAAGAGCAGCCCATGAGTGATCTCTCTCTCTCTCTCTCTCTCTCTCTCTCTCTCTCTCTCTCTCACACACACACACTCACTCTCTCTTTTTTTTTTTTTTAAACACGGCCCCAAATCCCGGGAGGCACCACTGGATTTTAGTGCAAGTCTACCTAATGATAATGCGCAGGGGCGTGCAAAATAAGGCCCACTGGCTCAATACTTCCATGATCCCTCCCATTCAGCATTTACGGTACCCTATCAAGAATCCTGTTGCAATACTTGGCAAATTAAGAATTTATTCATCATTTTTGAAATTCATGTATCAAATTTTTAAAAATGGTTAATTGAGCTACTGTTAACATGTCATGGTACAGCCGCCTGACTTCCATGCAAGCAGTGTTGGTGTAATTCCCACTCAGCAAATACCAGTGATGGTTAGGAATACAATTAACACTGTTTCTGCATGTGGACTAACTGGGGACTGGTCCACGGCAGTTCATCTGTCACCTGAGGTAAACTCATAGCCTCCATCTAATCTTTAACTCTGAACATAAGAACTATAGAAAATGGATAATAAACAATTTTACAATGTACCGAGGGCGGCCCGGTGGTCAAGTGGTTAGCGTTTCGACCTCACAGTGCAGCGGTCGTCGCTTCGAATCTGGCTCCGGCCTTCCTGTGTGGAGTTTGCATGTTCTCCCTGTGCGTGCGTGGGTTTTTTGCGGGTACTGCGGTTTTCTCCCACATTCCAAAAACATGCATGGCAGGCTGATTGGACGCTCTAAATTGTCCTTAGGTGTGAGTGTGAGCGCGGATGGTTGTTTGTCTATGTGTGCCCTGTGATTGGCTGGCAACCAGTTCAGGGTGTCCCTCGCCTACTGCCCGGAGACAGCTGGGATAGGCTCCAGCCCCCCCCCCCCACAACCCTTGTGAGGATAAAGCGGATCAGAAAATGAATGAATGGATGGACAATAGTACCGGTACATTATGTCCCTCATATATCCCTTAGGCCTTTGATTTTACTACCATTTCAAGCTTGTTTGTACAGACATGTATTTTTAAATGCACTTAAAAAAATGTTTTTGCTTCTTTTGGTGTACAAAGATGTTGGTGCTATGAAAAAAATCCATTCTTTTTATTTTTTTTAACCCTTGTGAGACAATCTGAAAAAATATATTTCCATTAAAGTATGCTTGCACATTTTTTTTCTTTGTTACTAATAGTCGTCTTTCTACAGGCAGTAAGGGTGTTTTTATCGATTCACTTTCTAAATCGCTTTTCCTCACGAGGGTCGTGGGCGTGCTGGAGCCTATCCCAGCTGTCTTCGGACAGTAGGCGGGGTACATCCTGAACTGGGTGCCAGCACACATAAACAAACAACCGTTAGTGCTCACAATCACACTTACATTGTACACAATATACTTACATTGTACACAATATAGAGTGTACAATTAATCTACCATGCATGTTTTTGGAATGTGGGAGCAAACCGAAGTACCTGGAGAAAACCCACGCAGACACGGGGAGAACATGCAAACCCCACACAGGAAGACCACGGCCCGTAATCGGACCCAGGAGCTCTGCACTGTGAGGCGGACGTGCTAACCAGTCGGTCATCATGCTGTCCAGGGCGATAAAATCCCCCGACCCGTCCACGGCTAAAATTCAATTATTTATAATTGAATGTGTGTCTAAATGATGATTGGATTCTTTTTAAAATACATGATTATTTTAAAAAATGTATTCTACGAATGACTTGGCCTGTCTGACCGTTTTCCATGTCCACTGTGACCCTTGAGCACATCAGCATGCACACCCATGATGCAACTGCGGGTGCGCGCGGCGGAGTGCGTACGTGCGTGCGCGCGCGCGCGCGCACCGTGGCTGACCCTTGTATCCTGCCACACACACAGGTGACAAATCTGATTGGCTGCACGATGACGTCACTTCCCACGAACTCCAAATCATTCCCTTTTGGAGTGGGAGGAGGCACTGTGGATTGTTTGGGGTGAACAAGCGCAACAACTTGGATTTGTGGTGAAATAAGAGAGCATAACCGGGAGCGATGCTTCCAATGAGTTTGGCCGACAAAGAGCACTTTTTGGAGGGATATTTCGCACATGTTAACGGCGCTTTTCTGCACGCCGAGACCGAGGAGCTGTGAGCATGCAGCTGACTTTGAACAAACTCGCTCGGTTTGAACTCAGTCAGGACTTCGTCTGAGTCCAGCTCCGGGAGGAGGACATGTGCGCTCGGGATGGGACTGTGTCTCGGTACCGACGTTACAGAGGAGGAGAAGAAGGCGAGGATACTCAGTGCCAAGATCGACAGAGACCTGTACGAGGGCGCCAAGCGGGAGATGAATGTGGTTAAAATACTCCTTCTAGGTAAGATACACGAACTTTACAACGTTCCTCTGGATACACGACTTTAATCTCTCGTATTTTCTAAGGTGCTTATAAATTGATTTTAATAAGCTGCTTTGATCAATTTAATTGTTTTCCTGTTAAAAAAAATCCTACCTTTCAAGCCACTTGTTGCTCGGTAGTGTTCATCGGAGTTAATCAACTGCTCCTCCTAAGAAAAAAAAAGCAGATTTAAAACAGTAACGCCCACTGGGCAGTTTTAATGGTTGTTTCCCAAACTTTATTGAGCCAAGGCACATATTTTACATTTGGAAAAGTCTCACGGCTCACCACCAGGGCCGGTTCTTGCTATGGGCAAAGTGGGCGGTCGCCCAGGGCGCAGTCTGTCAGGGGGGCGCACGAGCTTTGTGTGTGTGTGTGTGTGTGTGTGTGTGTGTGTGTGTGTGTGTCGTCCACGGTGCAAAACAAGCCAGGTCCGGCCCTGCTCACCAACAAACAAAAATGTTATAAAAATTGGCTACACAGGTCGATTATGTAAAGTACCTTCCATTTAGTGCTGGGGTGGGTGGCAAACTAATTTTTGTCGCGGGTCACATTGTAATTTTCCCTCTGGTGGCCGTTATGGCCACAAAAATACAATACAATACAATACAGCTGTGGCTGTAACAGAGCGCTTAACAAAACAGTTAACATAAAGTAAAAAAATAAACACAACACATACATAAAACAATCCTAACCACTTTTCCCTCATAATGCTTTGTTGTTTAAAGCAGTCTGAGATGAAAGAGGAGAGAATAATGTTTAATTTCCTCACCATATTCCTACATCCGCTGAACAAAATGATGGATAACTCATTTTTAAATCAGAAGTAATGGATGTTTGTTCAACTGCTGTTCATGGGACTTTGGTAACCCCCAAAAAATGTTGCAATGTTTTATCACTACAGTATTTGTTATGTATGACAACTCAGTACAGATTTTCCTAAGCACCAAGAAAGTTGATACTCATGATTTGCTTTCACGATCCACATAAATTGATGTGGAGGGCCGGATCTGGCCCCCAGGCCTTGAGTTTGACACCCGTGATCTAATGGAAGAGCGCTTAAATGTTTGGACTCTGTCGTTGGCATAGATAGATACAATACCATACACACCATCTTTATTTAAAAAGTGCTTTCACAACAGCTGCATCTGTAACAAAGCTCTTGACAGAACACAAAATAAAACGCCTCAACTATAGTACAACAGAACACACAAGATGAAACATCGACAATAATACAATCGTAACAACTATTCCTACATACGCCATGTTGTTGGTTAGAAGTGGCTGTAGATGAAAGAGGTGAGAATCAAAGTCTCCTTTCACCAGTGGTTCATAGACGTCATGGTCACAGAATGCACATCTGCTCCAAGCTAAGATGGAAAGCAAACAAGAAGCCGTCCGTTGACGAGTAACATCCTCACATACAGAAAGTACAGTTCAATTCTCCAGTCACATTTCGATCCGCTTCAAAAACTTCGATGAATAAGGACACATTGATTTGGAGTGAATAGATCATTTCAAAACCAATTCAGTGAAATGGGACACGATTTCCCACATAGGCATTAGAAGTGGAAACAACTAGTGGACTCGTCGCCTCTCATGAGTGCCCCGCTGAAATCAACAGATGATGCTGATGGGTTCGTGTGGCAAACAAGTATATTTTTTTAAAATGACCTGTTACACTATTATTATGATGAATTGAATGGTTGTTTTTTCATGGTTTATGTGCAGCACTTTGCCATAGCTGTTTTTGAAGTGCTCTAGAAGCAAAAAGCTGAGTTGCGGGTCAGTGCGGGCAAACTCTCGCCCTCCCGTTGATGCGCTGAGCGGTCAGCAAACCCTGTGCTGTTTCCTTTTTATTTAAATTTTTTTTTTTGTTCATAGCGCACACTTGCACCAGCCTATGTCTGTTCCCACGGCACACGGAATCACCGAGCAAGAGGCTGAAGGTGCTGGTGTGCCACTGTTAGAAGGATTCTGATGCAACCTTAGCACGTTTACGCCAACGCTCTGTATTAGATTTCCATTATGGTGGGATCTACAATCGAAGTTTGAATGCTTCTGAAGTTGTCAAGCCGCTGTGATTGGCTGGCAACCAGTCCAGAGTGTACTCCGCCTCTTACTCAAATTCATTTAAGATAGGGTCTCGCCTACAACACAAATGAAGACTTCTAGAACATGGATGGATGGATGGGTGGAAGAAGTCCTACAACCAACAGTTTGTGGAAGAATATGTTTCTAAAATTGCACTAAAATCATGCATGTCATCATGGGGGACTTCAGCTCAACTTCATAAGTTTTTAGGTTTGTCTTTGTTTTTCTTATTTGATGTTTTGCGGCAAAGACAAATCATTGTCTCCAAAAAAATAAGCATTCATTTTGCACATTACTCCACATGTTGCGATGTCCTCCAGGTGCAGCAGAGAGTGGGAAAAGCACTTTGGTCAAACAAATGAAAATCATCCACAGCAATGGATTTACCAAGCAAGAACTCAGCAGCTTCAAGGTCAGTAACACACACACACACACACACACACACACACACACACACACACACACACACACACACACACACACACACACACACACACACATTCCAAAGGGTAACATCTTATGACTTCTCTTTCGTGGTTTGTTTTTATGATTGTTTTTTTTTTTGAAAGCTGCCTTTATATTCTATCAATTACCATAATCAATAAACTATGATGAAAATGGAGAGTGGGAATTGAGCAAACTTATGGCACCCCTGCCTCAGGACATTTGACAATAGCCAAGTTGCTGTTTCTACATGTGTCCACCTGTAAACTTTGCTTATTCCTCCATTTTGCTTGCACTCTGATTGGCGGAGAAGAACGGAAACCCTTCTGGAACGGAAAGCGTTGCATTCTATTTTCCATCAACTCTTATCTTTAGCTGCACGCCTCTCCTTTGCCCCCCTGCAGTATTTTATCCCTCCTCTGCCTCAGCGGTGGGTCATTTCCCAGCTGCGTTTCTCTGTCTCGCTTTCCACTCTGGAAAAGGGTTCAATTTAGGCAGATAACAGCGAATGAACTGACCACCTTGAACACTCTATTGCGTTTTGATTCGTAATCGAAAGAAAAGATGCTCACATGGTTTGCACACACACTTTCATGGAACAATCAATAACACACAGACACTCATACACACACTACCATACTACACACAAATACTCAAATAACTTTCCATACACTTGTGCATTAGATCGAGGGCGGGCAAATTTTTGTACTCAAGGGCTGCGATTGGATTTTTTTTAAGACAGCGGGGCCAAGTCACTCACAGGAAATTCCTTTAGCGTGTATGTGAAATTATTTACTAGAATTTAAAAGGGAACACATTTTGTCATGAAATAAGCAAATAAATTAATCATTTAATAAAATAAATCAAAAGGTCTAATTGTATATGCATGCGCACATGTAAGCGCTGTTGCTTATGCTCATATGGGTCTCAACCTGGCCAGTGGCCCCTATCATTGATATAATTGTCCTACGACTGGGGGAACAGTGTGTTTGTGCGTGCGTGTGTGTGACAGAGAGAAAGAGAGAGTGAGAGAGAGAGAGAGAGAGAGAGAGAGAGAGAGAGAGAGAGAGAGAGAGAGAGAGAGAGAGAGAGAGAGAGAGAGAGGGAGGGGGGGAATCGCAATTGATCTTCTGGCATGCTTACAGCCATTTTTATTTCCCCCTTCCAAATCGCAGCCTTTGCAGTTTGAAGATTGCATTCTGCGACGTCACGATATAAGTTTGAATTCAATTAATCGTTCGGCCCTAGTTGCCAGTCATAAAGGCCCTTCGAGGCAAAACTCACCTATGATGTGCCCTGCATAAAAAATGAGTTTGACACTCCTAATTTAGAGTTGATAGAAAGTTGAGATGATGATGCAACGTCTTTGAAACAAAGCTCAACAGCCAGTCTGCGTCACTTGTCTCTGGCTTGTACGCACTCTTATTTGACATCCCGTTTGAAGGCCCCAATTTCTTGTGCTGCCATTTGGAATCTTCACCGCATTCCTCAATATTAGTGAGCTCCTTCATTCTGCTCCCTGAAGGTATCACAGTTGTGCTTGACACATTGATTTTTTTATTAAAAAAAATAATAACAAGACAGATATCTGTAGAGGACAGGACAAAAGGGTCAATTTCACGGTATATTCTGAAATATGCGACGCAATCACAAGATGGCAGTTGGAATCCATGTGGGTCATCTACAACAATAAATGTCTAGTTTCACAGAAATATTTTTTGTGGTAGTCTGAAACTCGTTGGATCATATGGAGAGTATTTTGGTTTGTACAGCTACAATTTTTCTCATTCTTACCTTTGACTTGTCCCACTGGGGGGACATCCACAGCAAGAATGTGAGTGAGAATGGTTATTTGTCTATATTTGGTCTTTGATTGTGTGGTGACCAGTCCCGGGTGTACCCAACCTTTCGCCCATTGTCAGTCGGGATAGATTCCAGTTCACCCGCGACCCTTGTGAGTATGACGGATGGATGGATTTAGTTAAGCGTGTCACTCAAACCTGAGCCTTGTAAGGGTCCCACAGTACTTGTATCACTTCTTATTAGATTATGCATGAGCACAATGTCTATTGCAATGGGCGTGTACCGTTTGGATAGCAAAATAGTCGACAGGTACAAGCTTGCACTAATGCTGCATAAAGCCGGTTGTTGTCTAAGCTGTCAGTTGGGTTTGGCTCGCATGTGCAACCATTTCTATTTTCTGCTGAAAAATGGACACCTCGCCCCGTGATTTCTGACCACCTCTACCCACACCCTGTCTTGTGCTCACACACTCATGGTGTCACCTCTCTTGATTGGCCTCTGTGATTCCTTTTTTCCTTTTTTTTTTTTTTTTTGGGTGTTGCACGTTGGAGAGCCGCTCTGCTTGGCATGCTTCAAAGTGGGTGGGTACTTCAAAGTCCACACGAGCTCTTCTCCTTATTGTCTTCCATCTCACTGAGCATTCTTTCCATCAACTCTGTGTCACAATAGGGCACTGCTCTGGCTAATGCCGGGAATAGGGGAGAAAGGGGACTGCTCATCATCTAATCCTTCCTTTGTTCATAGCCGGAGGCAGCAGCGTGTTGTTTTTACTATCCACAGGCCGATGGACTGAGACTCCAGCCCATACAACACTGTGTAAACAAGGTGACTCGTGTGCAAATGTGTTTTTGCACACTTGCTTTGAACTCTTGCGCGCCCGCCGCAGCTGCTAATGGTATCATTGGAGGAGCGATTGGATTTGTTGAATATGCAACCGAACTAGCGCTCCTGACAGCTTGACATGGGGAAACAAATGAAGCTTCGAAACACACATGCACACACACACACACACATGGTCTGGATAAGTTATAAACGTTGGCGCGTTGGTCTGCGGCTAATAAATATTCGGCTGCATTCTTTGTTGTGTATAGGTCCCTCGTGCTATGACGCAAGACAACTGTTTATTTTGTATATTAAAGCCACTGTGCCAAACACCAGGCTGGACAAGAACAATAAGTTCAGTGTGTTGGGATGGATTCAGGCATGACTGAGAGTTGTTACATGGCTGCTGACGCTGCTGCTGTTCCCCCTGCACTGTCTCACACATGCACGCTCACGCGCACACATTTTTGAGTCCAGCTGTCTTTTGACTCTATGCTTTCCTACAAAGATTAGATAGCAAAAAGATGTATTTTGATTACTATATCGTACACTGCATTTAAGGCTTCATGCTTTTGTGTTTTTTGTTTGTGCAGTGAGAGATTCATTTTCATGATTGTGATTGGACAAGAGTGTCACAAGTCTTTCCTCTGTCATATGTGGCTGTTGATGTCAAGAGACACTGTAACCCATTTCAAAATGATAAATCATGCAGAACGACCCAATCCAGACGGATTAATGATGTCGGCGTACATTTTTTAATACAAAAGTTAGGTAAACATGAGTCGCGGGGGGGGAGAAGCAGAACCGTAGATTAAAGAAAACAAAAGTAGAGGGGGGCCAGTAAGAAGAAAAATGCGAGAACGAAACCAAGGAATCTACCGTC